AAAAAAAAAAAAATTAAGGGCTAATTAAGGTAGTAGCAGAATAAATAAAGGATTAGAATTTTTATTAATCTAAATTAAATGTTGTATACAATACAATTTGTTTCTGGTTTTTGGTATTTAGTAAGACACTGATCGGGTGGTACTTACTGGGTAACATTTTGTGCCATATTTTTTGCATGGCTATAACAGAAACCCTGTCTTTCTATCTCTTTTTACCATAACACCTTGCAGAATTCATTTACATTGATGTTCTTTCATTTGGACTCTGAAACAATAGTTTTCTGCAATACCTAGTTTTAACCTGCAGATGGTGATACAACTTAAAGGAAAAACTTCGGTGACTAGTAACACTATTATTACAACTGAATTTCCTTTTTCTTTTTAATTTGCCGAATATCTTTTTAATGAGAATGATAAAAGACAGAAAACGTACTTTCTTTGCAAACTGCTTTTTTAAAACAAATTATTTGCTTTTAATTAAATACCGTGCTTGACAATGCCTTCTTTTGCAAAAGCAATAAATAAGAACAAATTTTAGGGTGGTGCATGTGGCTCAAAGGAGTAGGGTGCCGGCCCCATATGCCGGAGGTGGCGGGTTCAAACCCAGCCCCAGCCCAAACTGCAAAGTAAATAAATAAAATATAAATAAGAACAAATTTTAAACATGTGATTTGTCCAAGGTATTTGAAAAAAAGAGAAAAAGGCCTGGTTTTATTTCAACATTTAAAAATCAATTTATTTCCTAACCTTTAAAAGATTTTGTTTGAAGGTATGACTCAATTATAGAACAGAAAGAGTGAGGAAAAGAGAGACAGACCATCGTAGAGCTGCTTTAAATAGCTTTGGATCATTCTTCTGATGTCACCTTTATTTTCTGGAACTTCACCAAATAACCGAATTTAAAATATTTCTAATGAACTGATTAATGGGGGAGGCTAGAGAAAAATATGTATCGAACACAGTAGAAATTTTACCATAAATAATTATGCATATCAAAAGATGCTAACTTTAAAATGGTACCAACAAAAAAATGAAAAACCTGAATTACCAAAAAGAAAGTCAAATTTATTTAATGAAAAGCTAGAATAAAAATGAGCAAATACACACACACACACACCAAAAAAAAAAAAAAAAAAAGGGGAGTGGGAAAGGAGAGCAGAGAGAAAGAGGAGGGAGCGGGTAGGAGAAGGGAAGAGCAGAGAGAGGGAAGGAGGGAGGGGCTCGCTGTCTCAGTGTATGACGCATCTTTTGGGATCAAGACACAATTATAAGAGGGACTTTAGCTAGTAAATGTAATCAGTGTAACCTGGTTTCTTATACCCTCAATGAATCCCCAACAATTGAAAAAAACCACAAAGCAGCACTATGTAATGACTCACAAGGGGGGAAAGCAGGGGCCCAAGACCATGAAGGACGGCTTGTCAGTTCAAGAGAAGAAAGCACACATGCACACACACACAAGCATACACATGCTCACACGCACACATACATGCAAAAAAACAAACCCAGTATTTACAATCTATAATAAACACAGAGTTATTTTACAATGCCTCCTTTCTTAATACAAAAGATGCCCATCTTGGGGAGGGGGTGTGTGCATATATATATATATTTCAGCAGTTTACTATTGACTTATTTTTAAATATGTTAATGTTACTAATATATATGCAACTGCTTCCTGTTTTTGCAGGCTTTCTTTTATTTATCTTCATGTATCTACCTTCTACCTATGAAAAGAGTTTCAGGCTGGCAGGCAGATGGCTGCCTTATTTTCTGTGACCTTGAACGCGATAGTTCTAAACACTGGCCAGAAAATGTCTGATTGTCATTTCAACACATGGAAATAGTTACATTGATGCCTAAGTTGCCATTTTCTGCAAAAAGCTGTGCAGTGCTACCGTCAAAGACAAGGCAGTCAC